TTTTTTTTTTTTATCTTTTGCACATTTTTTTTGATTTTACCTATTTGCCATCCGGTAAGTGAAAGTAGAAAAGTATTCCAGAGTAGCTGCTGCAGGCAGGGAGGGTGGACACGTTGTCTCACGGCCGCTCCACCCTTCTCACCAGTCTCTGGAGGAAACCCTCAGTCCTTGTGAGTTTAAAAAAAGGTAAATATGATATCGAGTACATTTTGTCGACCTGCAGCTGCCCTGACCCTCGTGTCCTCTCAGTCTCTGATGCTGTGCTGTACAGGACGCCCCACAGTCCTCTGGTCGAGACAAGTCCACGTTCCGAGCAGAGTCCAGATCACTTGGGGGAGTCTGCGTTGGGAGAGGGCTCCCTCTGGCCCTCCAGGCCGCTCACCAGTCTCTGGATGCTCTGCAGCTCGTTCACAGAGTCCTTCACCGAGGCTTTCGGGGACGAGACTCGTCCAGCCGAGCCTCCCGTCTTGTGGTGGTCCGGTGCCGGGCTGGTCTCCCTGCTGCTGGGTTTGGGGGAGTCGGAGCTCAGGTTGAGGCCCCCGGGCAGGCCGGTGGCCAGGAGGCCGGAGCTCTGGGGCAGGGACATGGGCAGCTGGTAGGGGTTGAAGCGCAGGCGGGGTCGGGACGAGCCCAGGAAGGGGTTCCTGGACAGCGGGCTGGAGGTGCTGGTGGCCGGGAGGGCCGAGGCCGAGGCCGCAGCCGCTGCAGCCGCCATGTAGGTGTAGGGGTACGGGAAGAGACCCCCGAACGGAGGCATGGGGATGCCCTGCGACACAGAGGGGGATCAGGTTAGATTAAAAGTGACACAGATTATAATTCCCTATCAAATCATCACAGATTTGCTCCAAGTGGGATTAAAAACACACAGTTCCCTTTGAAACGGGACTAAATCCAGGTTCACTTCCTGACAGGGCTGAGCTCCAGGTCTGCAGCCCGTCTGACACCAGAGACCTGCTGCAGGGGCAGCACACACAACAAATCTGGGTTTTTTCCTACCTGAGAGGCGAGCATGTGCTGAGACAGGTGGAAGGGGAAGGGCCCGGGAGTTCCTCCTGTGCTCTGGGCCGAGAGGCTCCCATTRTCCAAACCAGTTGCTCCGGACACCGAGGCCAACAGGTGCCCCATGCCCATGGCGGAAAAGGCTCCAGGGGCCATGGCGAACTGGCCCGGGTGAAACAACAGCGGCGATCCGGCGTTGAGAGGGTTAAAGAACTGCTGACTGTGCAGGCCGGACAGAGCCAGGCTCTGTAAGTGACCTGGACTGAAGTGTGAGGGGCTCTCCGTTTGGACCACCAGAGGGGAGAAGGCCTCCTTAGTGGCCCCGATGCCTCCGGCGTCAGAGTCCTTCGTCAAGGGCTCCGTGGTGTCCTTCCTGTGCCGGCTCTCCGCTTTGTCCTTCTCCGTGGTTCTTAGACTGAACATGGACTCGTCCTTGTGGTCCGCGGCGGGTCGCTCCCTGACCCGCTCCTCACACCTGGAGCTGTAGGGGGACACGGGCTCAGTCCTCGGGCTGCTGGAGCCGGTGCAGCGCTCGTCAGGGGGCTCCAGCTCCTGCTCGCTGTCCGTCTTCTCATCTGCAATTAAAAAAGGAGGAAAAGATGTAAAAAAACTTCTACAGGTTTATTCAAACAACTAACAGCATCCTTTAAAATGTTAATTAAAAACAGTTTGTGCATCTTTAAATACCAACACAAGCTTTTAAATGACCCATCATATCTAAATGAGGATTAAATCAAACTTGGTCAAAATGACCTCATTACATTTTCAGATTCTTGGCTTTAAAAGCTACATTTTGACACCTGGATCATTCTGATTTCATAATTAAATCCATAAATATGACTTAATTTGTCTTGTTGGTTACAATAATACATAAATATTTGGTCTGAAT